ATGTCAAATATTTACTTAGATTATTTGGGACAAAGGTCAGGTGCTTATGAACAGATTCACAGAAATACGAAAAGCAGTGTGTGTCTGATGCGGTCTAGGTCGAACAATATTGTCCCCATTTCCAAAACTTGGGGTTTACCAACGGAATTAACATTGGTACAATATGTCAAGGGAGTTTTACCTTTCCACAGCCAGGTCTACTCCACAACAGTATTTAAAGAGCATAAAACAGTCTCAGATCAAGTGCTGAAGGGGTCAATTACGTAAAAAAGGTTCTTCAGTATACATCGTAGCTCCAGGACGGTCACCGACTTCCAGTCCCTTTCTGGGAAGTCAGATAAATAGGCCTACATATTCCACTGAGGGTGCGATGGCGGAGTGGTTAGTGCACTCGTCTCCGAAGCGGAAAGTCCGGGTTCGAGCCTCGGTTCGGACATGGATGTTTTTCGCCCCCTCCTGCCCACCCAGCAGTAATGGGTACCTGACTCTGAGTTGGGGAAGTAAAGGAGGCGTGGGAAGGAACTGGCCACCCTACCACAGTATGCTGAAGGCCCAGAAAGTTGTCTTACTATCAAGGCAATCCCCAATGTCCGGATCGGGTGCGGGAACAACTTTACTTTACATATTCCACTGTCTTACTCAAAATTTCATGCTGTAGGTAGTCACTAAAAAGAACATCGTTACACGGCACATTTAAACCATCACAAACAAATCAAAAACATGACTTTGTACAATTCATTGAGTATTGTATGTTGTTGCCTGCCATTTTGCTACCTCAGAATTACAAAGTTCTTTCTAACATTAGTGGCCGTTTAGAGTTACCAAGACAATGAGGTCAGAAACCTACTGTTCTATTTGGTCTATGAAAATCATAAGCACATTTGGAGTTGTTTTCAAGATATTCAACGAATTCCATTGTATAAAGCTTGGCATATTGTGAAACTTAAAAAAAAAATAACATCAAATTTCTCAAAACTAGATATTGAGCAGATTGCAATTCTGGGGTAACGATTTTACGGTTTCAGATAAACTAAACAATGGAAAAATCTGTATGAATAAGGAAGATAAAATACTTTTTTTAAGTTCCCCAAAACAGCAGGCCTTTAATGAATTAACAAGTTGTGTAAATTTTGGTTATAACACTGTAGCTCTAGGACGGCCAAGGCATATCTGATCCTTTCTTGGACCTTATCATTTCAGATTCTACAGTCTTGCTCTATTTTTCAGTCCGTAGGTGGTGACTAAAAGGACTCAAGATGAGCGCGGAGCACGTCGGAAGTGAGTCGGCTTCCGCTTCCGTTAGCTCGGCAAAAGCAGCCACTTCCAGAGAGGACTTGAACAGCGCCAGATCTATCCTACCTCCTCTACGAGAGAGCTCCACAAATAGAGGTCAGACTGGTGGCAAAAACAAGACTCACAATGACGTCACTGCTAATAGCAGACAGCCAACTATTGAAGAAGGGACTGGTAAGGCGAGGAATGAAGGGGGTGAGGGGTCAAAGGTTGTCACAAGAGAAAACACGAAAACGGAAGTACAGAGCTTGGGAATGGGTAAGAAGACTGCAACCCTCTACCTCAGTCGGACCCATACCATGATGAAAGGCCGGACGTCGTCGCAAGCTCTGAAAGTAAGTTTTAAATCCCATATCAGAACTGGATAGCGGGAGGTCACAACATAAATAACACGAAACGTCAGACAGGGTCCGTTTCGACGTAATAAATCGGTGAAATGAAAAGAAACATTTGCTTTTAATCTAGCATATTTTTAAAAGAAATTATATTTCGTGACGCATATACTTAGCTGTAAATCTGTATTAGCTATAATTTCTCAGTAAAATCAAAATTACGTAGATCACTCTCATACCTAAGTACGCCTACGAGCTTTATTGATAACAGTTTCGTAAAGTGCCTTCTGAAAGTAGAAGATAACGAGCAGACTTTCCAGAACCATTCGAACCTGACCTGGAAATGTAAGGAATTCTAAAGCCCCTTATCGACATACTAGATTACTTTTACAACACCATTATGTACGCTACCATGCCTAGAGAACTGAGTAAAGTCTGTAATATTAATGTGTCACGACGTGGTGGAATCAGGTGCTTTCCAATTTTTGGGCATATGGTTGTTATTGGTATAATCTTCAAGCCCGTTCATTTGCCTTCCTTTCGGAGAATAAAAGTCCTTCTATGTTGAATAGAATTCGAAATATTTGCGGTTGGAAAAGGTCGCTTGTTTCAGAAGTAAAATTAGCAAGAAAATGGTCGCCAAAGTTTGGTAACTTCCATAGACTGAGAGTCCTTAGAAACTGAAGATTCATAATTTTTTAGGGGGGTTTAATCAATGTTTTTCACTAAAATCCACACAAAAATGTGTTCTTAAATGGATATGAAAGGTGTTGGGCCAAACAAAAATAAAGAATATTAGAAAACAAATACCAATGGGCCAAAAATGCCACTTTCTTTGATTGCATTATTTTGACGAGCGTCTGATTTCACCAAAATGCCTCACAAATGGCCTGAGAAATAGCAACTGAGAAGGAAATGAGTTGAAACAGCTAAAGATACATAAAAACGTTCACTAAGGTTGTTTAGGAATTTTTAGTAAAATCAAAGCTATTTTTTAAATTAAAACTAATGTGTGTGTGCTTGTTTGTATGTGTTTGTGTGTGTGTGTGTCTGTGTGTGATAGATAGATAGATAGATAGATAGATAGATAGATAGATAGGTAGATAGATAGATAGATAGATATATAGATAGATAGATAGATAGTGCGTGTGTATGTGTGTGTGTGTGTGTGTGTGTGTGTGTGTGAGTG